ATAAGAGCACTAATACCATTGATGAGGGCTCCACTCTCATGACCTAATCACCTCCCAAAGGCCCATCCTTCTAATGCCATCACCCTTGGGGTTAGGATTTCAGCATATGAATTTGGGGTGGGAGACAAACATTCAGACCATAGCAGTTGTTAATGATTATTATTCTTATTATGGGCTGTGTTTTCTACTTCCCTGTGTATCTGATAGTCTCTGTTTGGATGCCAGACATTGTGAATTTTAGCTTGTTAGATGCTGGATATTTTTGTCTACTTACAAATCTTCTTGAGCTTTGTTCTGGGATGCAACTAACTTACTTGGAAATAGTTTCATCTTTTGGAGCTGTGCTTTTATGTTTTTTTTTTTTTAAGGTGGATCTGGCGTAGTACTCAGTCTAGGGTTAACTGTTCTTCACTTCCAAGATAAGATCTTCTTGAGTTCTTTTACTCATTGCCACTGAATTAGGAGTTTTCTTGATCTGACCTTTGGGAACAGACACTATTCCCAGCCTTGTGTGCATGACAAGGTACTATCCCTCTAATCTGTTTGATTCTTTCCCTGACCTCACTCAGATAGTCTTTTTTTATGTGCACGTGCTGATCTGTACTCTGTTATTCTGTCCTGTGAACTCTAGCTACATTGGTCTTGCCAGACTCTCAGCTCATTTCCTCAGCTCAGGGCATCTGCCGATTAGGACCAGCTATTCAATTTGCCTGGCTCATTGTAAAATGAAAATGTAGGGCCTTGGTCCACAAATTTAGAATTTCAAGATGGCGACAGCAGAGCATTATACCAAGCACAGGTCCCTTCTGAGCTGCAGCTGCACAGGTTGCATGCCCCTGAAGCCAGTGCTACTGCAGGGTTTCACCTCACTTTCTCTTCCTTCATCCGTGGGCTGGAAACTCTCTTCAAGGCAATAGAAACAGTCATGGGGCTTGTCTCCTTTGTTTCCCATCTCTCAGAAATCACTGTCCTTTTTTGCCAGATGTCAAGAGTCTTGAAAACTGTTGTTTCTGTACTTTTTTCTGCGTTTTTTGGTTGTTTTAGGCAGAGGGATAAGTCAAGTTCCCGTTAGTCCGTCTTGGCTGGAAGCAGAAGTTTCTTTTAGTATAAAGATCTGATTGCTTCTTTTTTTGTTGTTTAAGGATCTGATAGCTTCTTTTGTGTCAATCAAGGATTCCCCTCTTTGGTCTATGGGTTTGGCACCTTGTTTAGATAGATCTTTGGGGTAAAATCTGTCTTCTGTCATTTGCTGATCTGTTTTCTAGTCAAAATTCCTTGCCTAGTGGGTCTTGAAGTGGAAGCAAATTTTCTGGTATCCATCACCTGATTTTCTAAATTGTACCACTTGATTGCGGGCAAGTGTTAGCGTCCTGCTTGAAATCACTCTGCCCTTATATTTCTCCGTGATACGTTTAAATGCAAGCTACAGATGGTTGAAGACAAATCTCTTTTCTTCCATCTCCTGTACAATGCATCCTGTTGCACAACAGTGCAATTTGATCGGCATTTGTGCAGTAAGATATTAACGGCCTTTCAGTTGTGCCCTGGCCTATTAGCAAGAATATACAGTGATGCAAAAATGAATTTGTCAAGAGTTTTATGGCTCCATGATCTATCGTACAATATTAATCCTGCTGCGGTGTTATTAAGTCATTTTTCATCTCCCCTCAAATTAATGTTGACGTTCTATTACTGGATTTGTTCTTGTTCTCAGATTAAAACATAAAGGAAAAATTCTTCCCTGCTACAATATTAAAATTAATTGTAGGGTAAGCAGTACCTTGCTTGGTGAAGTAGAATCCTTCTGAAAAACATTATAACATGAATTTCTCTGCTTTCTGCTTGTTCTTGTGCACAAAAAAGCACAACTGGAGTATACTTCTAAGGGCACAAGGAGAATATAGCAAGGGAGGGGGCTAAATTTAAACTACATAAGCTTTTCCAAAAAGAGAAATAAGAAAGTCAGGGGCCTGAACCTGGAGAAAGCACACCTACTGAGTACTTCCAGTCTAAATGCTGATAGAAATGCTGGTGTATTAGATGTATAGGTATAAGAATTTGGGCTGACTTAGGATCTTATTATGTTCATAGGAATAACATATTTCTTCTATTCTGAGAAATTGGGGGCACTTAAAAATCACGTGATGAGGTCAACACTTCTAAATCAGGGTAGTCCCTAATCAGGACTCAGGAATGAGAAGAGAGCTATTATCATTGTTTCAAATTCAAGAGTAAATGATGCTTTTATGCGAATGTTCTGCTTTTTTTTTTTATCTTTTTACCCATGTGGGAACAGACAGGAGTCGCATGTCTGTGACTTCTGTAGTGAGATCTCAGGGTATTTTGGTGATTTCTGGTCAAGGTTAGGTAGGTGATCTGGAATGCTAATTAGTACTCTAGGAGGAATCCTGCAGTAATTATTTAAACTAAGAAGTAAATTTTAATTTACTTTAAAATATTAATCTATATTTTTGAAGGAAAAAAGCAAGCTGCAAAAATGCTGTTATAATATTTGTTTTGTAAAGTAAATGTATATTTAAATGCTGTGTAAATATATATAAAATATATATGAATAACTTGTTTTTCTTTATAGTAAGTCAACATGAGTTGTATAATAAAAATTTAGCCAGTTATGTACATTTTTATATTTGTAAATGATATAAGAAGTGTAGCGACCTTCAAGAGGGTGAGTGTAGGGGGTAGAATGAGGAAGACTGATGTTGAATCTCTGGCAAGTTGGAAAAATAATCATCGTTTATCATCTGGGTACAGTGGATATTCATATTTTTTATGTTTTAAGTCATTTTTATGAATAATGTATAGAATTAAGAATAAAAGAATAGTGAAAAACTTTTAGGAATTTTAATTAAAATTTAAATGTAAAAAACATCTTTGTATCAAGTCAATTTTGGCATGCAAAAATTGTAAAAAATGAAAGAAACTCACGTGCTTTTAGCAGAATGGAGTGGTCTATATTCTTGTTGCATAATATTGTGTGACAGTGTCCTTCCTGATAAATGACTGACTGGATAAGAATACTGTATTTTCTTTTTATCTCTAGAAATATATTCTTAGAGTCTAGAGTGCTTTTTGTCTGTGTGTTAATCTGATTTGTCTAATAATTGTGGACCATCTTCCTCTGTTAATTTTCTTCTCTGCCATCAGGGGCAGAAAGTGAAAAATTCTGAATTCTCTGCTGTATTCATCGGAAGCTAAAAAGGCTACAATGATGGTATCTCTGATTTTCTTTTATTCCTTCTTGAAAGATGATGCAGATACTTTGGACAATGCGATGAGAAAACTGAAGGATATGATTTATTTCACTGTTGCATTGTCCTTCAGTGTAGGCAGTTCTGTCGTTTTTCCTTTTTCTTCTTATTGTCGTTTAAAGAAAAAAAAGCATAGTTGGGTATAATTGATGAGTAATCATGAGTAATGATAAAATAACTCCCCAAATGATGAAATGTCACGTTTCAAGATACAAGGAAAATAAGTTCTCTAAGCTTCCATAATGTATCTTAGATTTATAAAACTGGTCCAATGGACCGATATGAGCATGAAATTCCTTTCAGTGACTCTAAGAAAGAATAAAAGTCAATAAATATCAATGTGAATAATTAATTAGAAGTGCTGAAAAATAAACTGAAAACTAAAATTGTGTCCGATAAACTGAGGGTTAAGAGCTTTTAAGGTGAAGCTGTCTAGGTCTCCCATTGTACATATGAGAAGCAGAAGTGGATTGTCAGTGGGTTGGAATGGAGGATCAGACATATGCAAACTTAGCTTCCGTGTTCCCCTAGTTGGTGTCAGAGGACAAATTAAAAATCTGAACACCAGTCATTCCCTTATGAGTTCTTTAGTTGATGATAGGGTATAGAGATCTCACTTTATGACAACCTTTAAATTGTATTTGATAATATTATTTGAACAGAGCACTGTCTTCCCTGATACACTGATGATGATGAGTTGGCAGAAACTTTGACCTTTTTAAAGAAACGATGATTTGTCTAAAACTTTTTTTGAAGCCCAGAGGACTTCCCATTCCAGCATCCAGGTGTCTAGCGCAACTCCAGTCTATAAAAGCGAGCCTTGCCTTCCAGAGGTTAAGGCAAGGTCCAACCAAACCTGTCTAAGATAGTGAACCAGTTGCAGTTGCTGTCAGTGTATGAGAGTACGAGAGCCTAGGACTTGGTCTGTTCATTTTCAGAGAGGACATTACTGTGTGTGTTATGTGTTCATGGGGCTGCTGCAGCAGTTGTACTTTTAAACATAGCCTCAACAAGTTGAGTATGAAAATTGTCTGCAGAATTTAAAAGGGATGTTTCATTTGTAATTCTTTAATTGTGTAAGACTTTCCAGCATTTTAGTTTTATTTCCCTCAACAACTTCTGTCTTTGCAAATAAAGATCTGTAAGTGAGGCAGTGAGTATTTATTGACTACCAGGTATGTGTGAGGCATTGGAGGAATGTGATGCTCAAGGGAATCATTTTGTAAAATAAAAATTTTAAAATGTGTTTGTAATGACATTAACTCAGTTTAACAAATAGTTACATATTAAGAACTTAAGTGGGGCCAGGAGTAGGGAAGTAGTCATTGGAAGATACGTGAATATAACAACGCTGGTCCCTCAGAAATCTTAGAATTTATTTAAATCCTTATTTGAACACTTTAATTTTTAAAGTAAAAAAAATAATCAGTAGAGTTTAGGTTGGTGTTACCACTTACATCGTTCATGTCACCAACAGAGCAAAGCACAAGCAATTGTGGAAGGAAAAATGGGGACAGATAACAGAGAATTAAGATATAGAAGAGGTAAACAGGGTAGGAGAGGCAGATCTCTGAAATTGTGAAGCTATGTGAAGTTTCCTTTTTATTCTAGTCTCTTCTAATGCCTGGATTATTTTGTAATCTTGGTTCTATCCATCCATCCATCCATCCAGCAAGTCTTTATCGAGTACCTCCTGTGCTAAAGGCATTATGCTGATATCCCTAGACTGAAGTCGGTAACTGACTCTTCCAGGAGTATTTGTATTTTAACAGGAAACACAAGGTAGAGCTTGTTTGCAGATGTTTTATTTTGGCCTGCAGTGTTTTAAAACTAGGGGAGATTTCACATAAATTTTGAGTGTTTGGCTTCTTTTACAAAATGTAGTATTTTTCTTTTCTCTTAATTTCTGTGTGGCTCCACTTGGCTGGGGTTGAGTAGATGTTGCCGCTTTAGGCTGGCAGGCATTCTTGAGTTTGCCACAGCCACACCACTCCCTGTTGTTCTGAAGCTGGCTCTCTTTTCTCACTTTTATTATCTGTCCCGTTCCTGTAGACATTTGAGTTTGTAAGCTGTGCCCTTAAGTGACTGACTTCTGATGGAATTCGTCAGCTACTCCCTAGGAGAGGATTTAAAAAGATTTGGGGGTAGTGGCAGTGGTTGAATGTAAATATAGGCACTCAAAATCATGCTTAGTAGGCTGCTACCAGTACCACCTGAACATAAGAAGTACCTTCTTTGAGGAATGAGGAAATAACGCCACCAATTTCCTTAAATGACATATGGTGACTTGTCCCTGTTTTGTGGGTTTCTTCTCCTTAGCTGAGTGGATGAAAATAAGTGTTTTAATTAGTCAAAACTCCTAAGTCCTCTGTCTGTCCAACTTTACATTGACTTAGCTTTTTTTTTTTTTTTAGAGAATTTTGGCAAATCGTTTACTTTTCTCTTCCCGTCTAAGAAAGTTTGATCATTAGAGCAAGGGATGAATCTCTGAAGAAAGCAGGAATTTTATATTCTTTAGCCATCCATACTTAACCAGCAAGGAGAGTATTTTTTCCCTCATTGTTTATTCCTTTATTATATGGTTAAAGGTAAACTTTGTTTCATACCCAATATGTTATTAAGAAACCTAAGTCATAACTATGCTAGTGAAAAAATTTTCAGAATGTTTGCTAAATGTTCCAGGCGTGGGGAATACAAAGATGATTATTAATATATGATCTCATTCAGATGGGCTGTTTTATCAGTTTTAAAATTTACTCCTGAATGTAGGTTAGTGATTTATCTTGAAGATCCAGTGGTCTTGAAAAAATTCAAGAATATTTAGATTGGAGAAGGGTTTTACTTTGAATCAGATTATATATAGTACCTGCTGGCAAAGTTTGAAATTTAACCCCAGTTCTAGGAGATATTATAAATACTCAGAACAAAGGAGGTGAGTTGAAGTGAGTAGCTAGCTGGCAAATCTCCAAGCATGAGAGAAATTTCTGTCTGTGATATGAGGAGTCAGAGAGTACAGGTGATGATGTTCAGAGGAATTAGTTTCTAGATTTTGAAAACATGGTTCAGAGTTTTGAATTTGCTCCAGAAGTCCTCCCACTAACAATATCTAGCGTTTCTTTAATTGATAACTTTATTGCCAAAAAGTTTACAATTGAATGGGAAGTTAGTAGAAAACACAGAATTCACTATATAGAGATTTAAAATATAATCCTTAAGTGCATTTTTCTGAGAAAAATGAGGATAGCTGTATTTGTGTGTAGTGTTGGGACTATAAACCTAAACCTGTAAAACCTAAAAGGATTGCAAGCATTCTCAATGCAGTAATTGTCTGCTTCAAATGGTAGTTCAGAGTCACCTGCAGAATTTTTGAAAACTCTAAATACCTTGGCCCTGACTCAGACTTACTGAATATAAATCTTAACCCCAGTATAAACATTACTGTCGTGATGCAGAACTTCTGAGACGATTTGCTTGCACTTTGTTAAATCAAGATTAAGAGGAGAGGAGAAAAGCAAGAGCTGCATAGGTGAGGTGACAATTCCAAATCTTCTCGCTGGAAACTGGCATGATCTCATGATCCTAGGTCATGATTTGCATGGTCTCAACTGCTCTTTCTTTAAAACAGACTGTTATTAGTGTTGGACATGTCTTCAAAATGAAACATCCTCTTTTAAATAATGTCATTTAATAGGTATTTTCTGGGAGGAAATTCTGAGTTTCTCAGGCAGGTCTAGAACTGTTTTAATTACTTGCATATTCTTGCCCTTATAGAGCATGTTTTGAAAATCACTGATTGTTAAGGTTATTGGAGTTGAGAGAAAAATACTTATGTAAGTTAGATTTTTTTGGTAAAAGTTTTTAGTGCTACATTAGAAGTAAAATATTAATTTGCCAATAAATTGGAAAAAAGAAGCAGAGTTCCATGGTAACGTTATCTTTGCCCTCACACAGCTGCATTATTATTACCCTATTGGACTGTAATGATTAATGCTTTTTCCTGATAACCACAGAAGCACGTAGGATTCTTTCTGTATCACTGGGTATGAACTTTAATGCTGCTTTCCCAGTAAGCTGTGTAAATATGTGGTCTCAATATGTATCTCCAGTTTGACCTTTATACTTTCTATTCCTGCCAAATTTTGTCCTTGCTATGGTATCTTCTACATCTGTTGCAAACTCTTTCCCATCCCGCCACTGCCTGCCAGAAATGTTACTGCTCTGAAATTTGTTATTTTGTCTCTCCTTTCCTGACATTCTGCATTATTTTCTCCATGTAATTCAAGCTGTTCCTGTTCTTTCAGTACAGTTTCTATTATAAGCTTACTGGGTTTTTTGGTTTTGTTTTGCAAAATTAAAATATACTACTTCCTAAATGTTTTTCTTAGCTCCATGTTTCCTTTGAAGCCAGCCCTTATTCTGAGATAAATATTTGACATTGATTTGTTCTCATATTTCTTCTGACAACTCCTCTTGTTCCTCTTGCTCATTTAAGAATGTGTCCTTAACTTAGATTGTTAGCTGTTTCTTCCTTCTCTCCAGTATTTACTGAGTATGCTCTATATCAGGGACACTTCTAGGCTCGAAAAATAGAGCGGTGAGAAGCATGCAAGCTGTTAAAGTGCTAGTTTTTATTTATTCCACAAATATTTAACTGAACATCCTAATGTATACTGGGTACTATCCTAGCACTGAGAATATAGCAGAAAATGAAACTGACAAAGTCTCTACCTTCAAGGACCTTATATTCTTGTGGGAGGAGAGATAAATATATAAATATGTAATACATCAGATGGTGATGAGTGCTGTGGAAAAAAAGGATTAAGGGGAGAAGCTTTAGGGGTATGTGAATGTGTAGGGTTCCTATTTTATGTAGGGGAGGTCAGTAGGTGAAGACCAAGCCATGTGGTTATCTGGGGGAAGAGTGTCCAGGCAAAGGTGACAGCAAGTGCAAAGACCCTGAGGCTGAAGAGTGTTCCAGGGACAACAAAGATGCCACTGTTGGCTAGTGCAGAATAAAAGACTAAGAGACTGGTAAAAGATGGAGTCAAGTAACAAGAGGCTTGAGTCATTTAGGCCCTTGTAGGCTTTAGTAAGAACTTTAGTTTTTGCTCTGGATGAGATAGGAAGTCAGTGTAGTAGTAAAAACTTTAGCTTTTACTCTGGATACGATGGGAAGTCAGTGTAGAATAGAGTTTGTTTGATCATATTAAAGGAGTAATGGGATCAGAAAATTTTAAGAGTTACTTGGGCCTTTATGGGGACAAAGGAGGTCGCAGAAAGACTGTTTAGGAGTTATTATAGTAATTCAGGTTTGAGATTATGATAGTGTAGACCAGGACATATGGAGCTGGGAGAGGTTATTAGGATTTTGAATATACTTGGAAGGTAGATCTGACAGGATTTTTTTGTTAGAGTCCAGATCCAAGATATTTGGCCTAAGCAACTGGAAGGATGGAATTGCCTCTTACTGAGATGAAGAAGGCTGCCGGAGAACCAGTTTAGATGGGTTTTGGACATGTTCAGTTTGAGATGCTGTTAGATTGGATAAAATTTTTTGATAATCATGGGGTTTTTTGGGAGTTAGCTGTTTGCTTGGTAAAAAAAAAAAAAAGATTGTTTAGACATTAACACAAGTTTGACTTTTTTGTTTGCTTGCAACTCTTTCGTCTATCTCACATATTCCTACTACTGAGAATCACTTTTTTGTTGGAGAAAATGCTCTAGTATTATCAGAAATATCTACGTGGTAAATTTATGTTAGAAAATGTTAGTGTTTTGCTCTTTGGCATGAATGTTGTTTGACTGGGTGTATAAGATCTAAATTCAAAATTGTTTTCCCTCAGAAACTTTATCCAACAGGAGTTCCAAAAAGGGAAAGGAGAAAAAAATGGAAAGAGGGTCAAAGTAATAATGAAAGAAAATTTCCAGTGTTAAAGACTGAAATCTTCAAAGACGCTGGGCCCACTCCAAATAATAAGATAAATGAGGTGTAAGACGCCATACAAGATACAACCTGATAAAATTTCATAACTCAACAAATAAAAAAATGCTTCTGAAAGAAATTTCACACCACGTTCCCTACTTAAGGAGCACCAGATAGCCAGACTTTGTTAGCACCGTTGGATGCTTGAATCAATGAAGAGATGCCTTTGAAGCAGTATATGAAGCATCAGGGCTAAAGAGTAAAGTTTTAGATAGGGTGACCAGAGATGGTCTTTTAAAATAAAAATCTGAAGGATGTGAGGAGCTAGCCATGTAGATATCTAGAAGATGAGCATCTCAGGCAGAGGACACACAAGTGCAAAGATTCAGAGGCAGAAGTGTTCTTGAGATTTAAGAACAGCAAGGGAGCCAGTATGACTGCAGCAGAAAGAGCAACCGGTGAGTAGTAGGAGAGAAAGTCAAGGGGTAAAAAGGTTCAGATCATGTACGGGCTTGTGTCTCATACTAAAGACTTCAGCTTTTACTGAATGAGATGAAAATCAGTGGAAGAGTTTTGAGCAGAGTACTGATATAATCTGATGTGCATTTTAGCAGCTAGGACAACTCCTTTTTGTTAAGAAAGGATAGGGAAGAAGAGCAGGGGCAGTTAGGAGGTGACTGTAATAATCCAGGGGAGAGTTCACAATGGCTTGGATCAGAGTGATGACAGTAAGGGTGATGAAAAGTCATCAACTTTGGAATCTTTTTGAAGGTGGAGATGGCAGGATTGCTGTCAAATCAGATGTAGGGGAGGGGCAAAGGGGAAGAGTGAAGCGGAGAAAGATAGAGACCATATCAAGTGTGATATTCGGATCTTTTGCCTGAGCAATTCCTAAATGGAATTACCACAAAGTGAATTGCAGAACGTATGGGGGTGGGGCAAGAATATTATAGGTTTACCTTTAGACAGGTTTTCAAACCCTTTGATCTTTGCCACTCTGAAAAGTTAAAAAAATCTCATTTTATTATTCATTTCTCTTGCTATGAAGGAAATTAGGCATTTGCGTTTCCTTTATTATGACCCATCTATTTTAATTAGTTAATTTGGAGAAGGATTTTTCTTTGGGGTGGTTCTTTTTCTTTTGATTTTTTGGAATCCTTTTTATAAATTAAAAATTTAGCCCTCTGTGATATTTGTTGCAAAAATCGCCCTGCCCCAGCTGTTTTTAAATCTTGCTCATAGTGTTTTTATGTAATTCAGGATTTTTTTTTAAAGATTTTATTTTTCCTTTTTCTCCCCAAAGCTCCCCGATACATAGTTGTATATTTTTAGTTGTGGGTCCTTCTAGTTGTGGCATGTGGGATGCCGCCTCAGCATGGCCTGATGAGTGGTGTCATGTCCATGCCCAGGATCTGAACCAGCGAAACCCTGGGCCACCGAAGCGGAGTATGCGAACTGGACCATTCAGCCACGGGGCTGGCCCCTGAATTAGTCTTTTATAATGTCAGGATTTGGTTTATACTTAGGCCTTTATTAATATCATTAAAAACCTATGTGTTTTTTGTTAGCACTTTTGTCATTTTATTTGCACTTAAATCTGTAATCCATCCGGATAGTAAATGAAATGAAATGCTGCCCTAAATGGTGGGCTTGTTAATGGGATGCTCTGGCAAGTCAGGATGCAACTGCAGAGCCCCAGACCTTACCAATAGAGCAGGTCTCTGGAAGAGCTTCAGCAAAGGATCCAGTAACAGGGACTGGCCTTTTCTCAGACTTCTTGTTGTTATCATCCTTTGAGAGGGTTTGATTGGCTGTTACCTGTATAGCTCAGGGAAATGGTTCTCAGGCTTTGGGGCTGAATCAACATTATCTGGAGGGCTTGTTAAAATATAGACTGCTACACCCCATCTTCAGAGTTTGATTCTCTAGGTCTGATGTACAGCGTGAGAATTTTCATTTCTAACAAGTTCTCAGGTGATACTGATGGTCCTAGGACACTTTGAGAACTGCTGGCCTAGGAGTTTAGGGCTTAAGCTCTGGAATCAGAAGGTTTGAGGTCAAATCCCTGTTCCGGTATTTGCTAGTTCTGTGATTTGGGGCAGGTTTTTTTTTTCCTCTCCTCCCTTCCCACTTTCCACCAAGGCACATTTTTCTTTTCTTGAACCAGGGTATGTATTTCTTAGAGCTGCTGTAAGGACTGAAAAACGTACTGTGTTTGAAATAGTTAGCACATACTTGAAACATAGTAAATATCACTAATATAAATTGCTGATGCTTTTATCAGGATCTCTTTTTGGTCTCAGTGTCAGAACTGTCCAATAAGAATATAATATGAGCCAGCATATAGTTTTAAAATTTCTAGCAGCCCTATTAAAAAAGTAAGCAAAACAGAAAAGGTGAAATTAAATTTAATCATTTAACCCAATATTTTGAAAAATCATTTCAGTATGTAGTCCATAGAAAATTAATGTTCTACATTTTTTCCTTCAAATTAAGTCTTTGAAATTTGGGCTGTGTTTTATACTTACAGAGCATCTCAATTTAGACTAATCAAATTTCAAGTGCTTATTAATAGCCACATGTGGCCAATGATAACCATTCTAGACAGTGCCAAGTCTAACCAGTACTCCTCTTCACTCTGTCTAGCCTTGCTTCAGGCACTGATTCTCGGTCTAATTAATTAGAGACATGGAGGTGAAATTTGTTTTACTTGATGCGGAAAGAATGACCCCGGGCATGGCAGGTGGGATCCTTGAGCTGAAGATAGGCTATTCTGTCTTTTTAAGAGATCAGTCAGGGACAACAGTTGATATTCCTGGGAGTCAGTTTCCTCGAAGGATATTGTGCCACATTAGAACCCAATGTTCTCTGGAAAGTCTCTTGTAAGTTCTGCATGCTTGAGTATTTCTTACTGGAAAAGTGGCTCTGGAAACCTCCAGAGGTATAAAGAATAATGGTGATTCTTAAAAGCATGTTCGTTGATTTCTAGAAATCACCCTCTTGACTCATGGGAGAGAGATTTCCCTTCTATGTGTCTGTGGAGGGTCTTTCTTGTGAAGGAGGAGCGCCTTAGGACTTGTGATTAGTTTTTGATAGTGTAAATATACTTCTTCAAACAGCCATTGTACCAATGTTTTTGCTAGGGTATACTATATATATCTGTTGCAATGTTGCAGTCTTAATTAGGGAAAAAATTTTCACATGCCTCTTTTGCTGCATATTAGCATATTTTAAAGGCATATGGTATACTTTTGTCTTCTATAAGTATTCATTTAGCAAACACTTGAGCAGGCACTATGTGCATGGCACAGTTTTCTTATTCTTTACGGATCTTCTTTTGCAGTTTCGTATTTTTCAAAGATTGTTCTCAATCTTTTAGCTTTTACATACTGTAAGCAACATACTGAAATCCTACTAGAAAAAAAATTTCTGGTTATTAAACTTTTTATATTCATTCAGCATTCTTTTCACACTTAACCCATTTGAAGATAAACAAATGAAATGTTAAGGTTTTCTTGCCCATAGTGATAAATCATGTTTGAGAAAGCCTTTAAATTTATAAATGGGCAATATGATTTGCATTTTTTGAAAATATTTTACTACTCTTGCTGACTGGCTTTCTTTAAATTGATTGGATTTCTTTTAACTTAAGTAATAAGGTTTGGGAACTGTGTTGTTTCTTAGGCTAGGCTTTTAAATTCAGTCACCCTTGAAGGGCTCTCTTCTGAATTTATTTTTCTAAGCACCATTTCTTGTGCTTTGAAAAAGAATTTTATATCTGTGCTGCCCATCATGCATCAGCATTTAATTTATCATCTTTTGATGCTGAGAGAAAAGTAATGATGATTTGGGTGTTGTTTGGGGATGTAAGCATAGCACAGTACTGCAGGTAGATGAAAACATTGGAGCCCCCACACTTATTCTTCCTGTTTCCCAACTTTATAATTAAAAAATGTTCAAACCTACAGAAAAGTTAAAAGACAAGAACACCGAATATCTGTATATCCTTCACTTAGACTGACCAGTTACTAGTATTTTGTGACATTTTTACCTACCCTCTCTTCTCCTCTCCCTCTGTTTCTTTGCTGCCTTGCTGCATGCACGTTGCAGACATCCTGACATTTGGTCCTTCAGCATGTACTTCCTAAGAATAAGGATATTCTTTTACATTACCACAATACCATTATCATACCTATAAAAAATAGCAACAATTCCATAGTATTTAATACACAGTTCCTATTCAGATTTCCCTAATTATCCCCAAAATGTTTTTTTATAGCATTTAAAAATTTTTATTTTTAATCCAAGATCTAATCAAGGTTCAAGCATTTGATTATATCTGTTTATTTTAATCTACAGTTGTTCCTCTGCCAGTTTTTGGTTTGTTTCTTTGTTTTCCCTTTTTTTTTTTTTTTTTTTTTTTGGTAAGAATCTAAGCCTTGGTCAAAGTTTTTTATACAGTGCCCAACATTGCAGAATTATCTCATTGGTTTCCTCATGATTGAGCTTAAATATTTTTCTTTTTTGCACCAATGCTTTATAGATGACATGTACTGCTTATTGCATCACATCAGGTGTTCCGCGAAGTCAGGTCATGCTATTCTTGGTGCTAATAGCTGACTTCCATCACTGGCTTAAGTTGGTGACCACTAGAGTGCTTCGTCGTACACATATATTTTCCATTTGTAATTACTGAGTAATCTATGGGATCCAGGTTCACTTTTGCATTAGATTTTATATGGTCAAAGTATCTATTCAATCTAGGGAAAAACATGGATATTTATTAGCCTGAGACACACTTTCTTGTCTCCTTTATGTGACCCAAAGTGTAGTGAAACCATAGAGCTAGAAATATAGCCTTTGCTCACTTCTGTTAACTTTAAAAAAAAAGATTTTTTTTAAAGGTTGGCACCTGAGCTAACATCTGTTGCCAATCTTCTTCTTCTGTTTTTCTTCTTTTCCCCAAGATCCCCCAGTACATAGTTGTATATTCTAGTTATAGGTCATTCTAGTTCCTGTATGTGGGACATTGCCTCATCATGGCTTGATGAGTGGTGCTAGGTCTGTGCCCAAGATCTGAACCTGCGAAACCCTGGGCCCCAAGCGGAGCACGCTAACTTAACCACTTGGCCACAGGGCTGGCCCTTGATTTTATTTTTAAAGAGACTGTTTCTTTATCCAGATTATTGCTAACATGAGCTGTTTATTGTTACTAGTAACAATAAAATGTTGGTGCAGATCTGTGAATTTCCTTTAAAAGCTCAGGAATTTAACTTGAAAGTGAAAAAATCCGTTTTCTGAAATATTTAATAACTTGTCTTCAACCTAATCAAATAAAAATTGTCATGGTAATGATTGGTTTAAGCACATTTACATCATAGAGCACAGTATAGTAGTGTTTTGTTTTATTTAGCATGTAATTCTGAACTTTCTGAATTTTCATTTTTTGCTAAGAGGTGGAAATCTTCCTTTAAAGAATGAATGTCACCAGTAAAAATAAATCATTATTGAACTATCACTTAAACAGGGTGTGTGGTAGAACCAGTGAGAGAATTTGATTTCTAACTTTTTGCAGTTTTACATTTACTTACTAGAATTGTGTGTTTGTGATTCAAAGAAGAAGTTTGTGCTGTGTGTGTGTGTATTGGTTTCTGTTAGGAAAAAACGATAATTATATAATGGTTATAATATTGTGATCCCAAAGATGGAACAAAGAGAGTAAAGTTACTGGAAGAAAAATCCTTAAGTGTCTGCAGAGAACAGGTGGCTTACTTGCCCATAGTGGACCAGGGAAATGAGAAAACACTTATTCTTTCTATGATTTCATTTTTCTTACATTGCCTTCTACTCAGAATCTCTTAGATTAGGTAGCCACCTGGTGTCTGTCTCTGAGTGAAAAGGAATATTTATGAGCAGGCGGAAGTGGTTCTTAAGTGTCCACTTTTTCGATTGAGAGAGACTGCTTATTCCAAACTCAGACATTACTTTTCCCACAGAAATTGCCTGCCATCACCTCCCTTGCAGTAGAATGACTAATTATGAGCTGGAGTCCTAACATTTTTCATTGTTTTGACGTTGTGTTCTTGGCAGGGTGTAGGATACTTCTGCACTTCTTAAGGGTGTCTATATTTATCAAATACAATGTAGATGCCTTTATAATATCAAATATGTGATTTGTAACTCTTACCTTTCAATTTCTATCAATAAAGCACTGTTACTTAGTTACAAATCAGGCTGGTTAAGCAGTTTGTTACATCTTGTGGCTCACTAGAATAATTTGAAACAATGAAGATTTACCAAGAGTGTAGGGCCAGATTTTTGCAGGTACTTTTTACTTTTCTGTGCCTTGTTAGCATTCATCTTTAGTGGCTATACTTCAGGCGGGTTCCTGAATGGTGTATAGTAATGACCAGCCCTGAAGTTTCCTATCTCAGAGAGGAGGGATGATTCTAATGATCATCTTCTAGAATGTTGTCTCTAGCTGTTCCAGGGGTTCTAACTGCCTTTGTTGCTGGCAATGATGTAGCAGTTTAACTCCTTTGAATGTGATGGTGCATGAATGAGAGAGTTTAAAAGACAAGAGTAGAAACAGGAAGGTGACGTAATGCTGGAGGAGAGGCCTGTGTGAAGATGTCAGTTCTGTTGATGCACTGTGCTATGTCAAGGACAGAAAGGCAGCTGTTGACTCCTGGTAGATCCTATTAATCAGATTTGTTCTCCTTTTTAGGTGATTTTCTTAGTAGAAATTTATTTCTCTAAGCTTTCTTAAGATGAGGGGAATTTCTGTCTTGGGTGTTAGTCTCATTTGCAGTTGTAGGGGCAAGGGTTTTAGGAGACTTACTGTCTTCAAGCATTAAATTTTCAACCTGAGTTGCCTTTAGCAACTCAGGCTATGTGTTAATGCAGTCAATTCTAGATAGCCCCATTCTGTTGGTCTCTTGTGCACGTCGTTTCTGGGTTTCTATTAGTGAAAGGTTCTAGAGTAAAATAGGAATTCCCTTTTGGAAAATTGCATTAGTTATCTGCAGTGATAACTGTTCCTTAGCCAGATTGCTGCATAATTTAATTCTGCAGTAGGAATAAAAAACATTGCAGGAATTGATAAATTTTTATTGAGTGTTGACTATGTACATTGTGTACTGTGGCCTGGTGATGGGGAAATACAAAGATGAGTAAAGCAGAGCCCCTTCCTGGGATGAAATTTTATTTTTTAAAAAGCCTTTTAATGAGTACAAAAAGTAAAACAAAACTAAGAAGTAAAATGAATAAAAATGTGTTTGAAATATCAGAAGGTCAGTAGGTAATTTTTTTATAGGATACTATCAAATAAATTATTCTAAGTAAAAAAAAAAAAAACAATGGGGCTTTTATCTTACAGACAAAGTTTTAAGAGCAAATGTTATAGTCTTATAAACACCAGACAAATAATCAACACGAAATATGTGCTGCTTTAAGATTATATTGATAGTCTTCACAGTATTTCTCTTCAACACTATTATCTGATCAACACGTATATGAATGGAATAACAACCATTTACATTTATCATACACTTGTTTCTTTTTTTTTTATCACAAAACTTTTAAGACTAAATTTTATGTAGAGGAGCTCTTAGAGATTTGTAACTGTCCCACAGTTACAGAGCTAATAGCTGGCAGAGCCTGGATTCAAACCAGTCAGATGTTTTAGCTCCTTTTATTTCTTGGTTTCAGTCCTGCCCCCCCCCCAACCCCCCGCCCTGGTCCCCACCGTTCTTTCTTTTCTGTTTAGTATGATTTGGAAGAACCTGCAAAACTCAATCTGAAGAAATACAGTAACCTTTTCTCTTCAAACTTATTGTAAAAGAAAAAGTTTAAGGAAAAACGTGATTAATTTCATTAACTAAATCATTGTCTACATACTTCTCTCCAGTCTCTCTCTCTATATATACATATTTTTGCAATGTGTAAATATATCTGTGATCTTATATTCTACTGTTTCTTTGTCATTGTATCAGACATTTCCCTTTCTTTTTTCAAATTATTTTGAATTGTTGCATATTATGTCATTGATGTATTTATCCATATTTGCTCATCCTACTTTGGGGGTTGTTCTGGTTGTTTTCAGTTTTTCAATATTATAACTAATGTAGTAATGATTATTTTTCTACATAGAATATTTTTTCTGTTGAATTATTTTTATAGGATAAATTCCAAGAAGTGGGTCAAATATGCCCTGAACATCATATGTTAGTTTGTGCCCAGCAATACCTTGATGTTAATTAGGTAGGGAGAAATAAATTTTCAGAAATAAAATGTTATATTTCTTATAAAGTAATTTTGCCTTATCTCATTATTCTGCATATAAACAATAGAAAGAGGTTGAGTTATTTATACTATTTTCTTATTTCCATTGGGAAAAGAATTGCAGAGATATAGGCAATATTAAGTTAAAAGTGCTATAGCATTTCAGTTTTATTATTTTGTGGCATGGTCTTTTCATTTTTATATTTTCAGGAATATAACTGGTATACAATTCCAAGCCTTATAAGGAAAATAGGGGTGGAGGGATGAATGGCACTGTATTGCTAGAAGAAGGCTCAGGAATATCTGTTGACTATGATGACAGTGGGTTTATGTCATACCCGCAAGGCAGCCAGGAATTTAGCCAGTTCAGATGCATAGTGACAGGAGAAGAGGAGATACTCAAATAAAAATAATGTAGGCAGTTTATATCCCTAGGGAGCCCCCAAGCTAGCTCCTACTTGAGGTTAAGACAGCCATTGCAGGGAGAGGTAGCATTGGGGCAAGCTTGGGTACGCTGTGAAGCACTCCCGTGTTGCTTTATGCTCCAGGTGAAGTGCTTTACTTCCCTCATTGAGGGCCAAGACCGCTGTTTCAGTCATCCTTCCTTTGAATTCTAGTACAGCGCCTGGCACATTAATAGGCCCTTAATAATTGCTTATTCAATTGAGTTAAATTCATGGGTAAGCTTTTGAAAAGAGCAGCTAGCAGATGTGCAGTGAAAATTATACTAGACAACTTGAGGCTATTTGGGCAGAAGTACAAAATTGGTGGGAAGAAATTTTGATGGCTTCAGTGGATGGTTAACAGAGTTGGTAGGTTGCTCAGGAAGAAGAGTTGGTGTTAACTGCTATATTGAAACCTTCTTTAAAAACTTAAAACCACACAAAAACCTGCACAAGAAAGTTTGTAGTAGCTTTATTATGGTCTTCAAAACCCGGAAGCAGTCAACGTGTCCTTCACTGGGTGAATGAATAAACAAACTGTGATACATCCCCAAAATGGAATATTATTAAGCGATAAAAAGAAATGAGCTATCAAGCCACAAGAAGGCATGAATTTATTTATTTATTTTAAAGATTGGCACCTGAGCTAAGAACTATTGCCAATATTTTTTTATCCTGCTTTATCTCGCCAACCTGGTCCCCCCCCCCACACACACACACATAGTTGTATATCTTAGTTGCAGGTCCTTCTAGTTGTGGCATGTGGGATGCTGCTTCAACATGGCCTCACAAGCGGTGCCATGTCCACATCCAGGATCCGAACTGGTGAAACCCTGGGCCATGGAAGCGGAGCACGTGAACTTAACCACTGTGCCACAGGGCCGCCCCCGGCATGAATAAATTTAAATGCAGATTGCTGAGTGAAAGAAGCTGGTCTGAAAAGGCTACATTCTATATGATTTCAATTATATGATGTTCTGGAAAATAGAAAACTAAAGTGATGATCAGTGGTTGCCAGGGGTTTGGGTGGAGGGAAAGAGGGTTGACTAGGTGAAGCATGGGGGAGTTTCAGGGCAGTGAAACTGTTCCGTATGATGCTAGAATGGTGGGTATGTGACACTATGCTTTTATCAAAACACATAGCCTCTTACAGCACAAAGAGTGAACCTAATATATGCAAATTTTTAAAACACCACTTATAAAATTGGGAGATAGCAGGATGGGAGAGAGAATGTGACAAAACAGACTTACTGTATTACAGATGTATGAAACAACCTCATTGAAGGGGGTGGGAGAAAAAAGTGCTGACCTAAGTAACTTTGAAAACAAGTGGAATCTGTAAGACTAAAGGCAAAAGACTTACACATAAGTAGTGTACTCCAGGTGATACAGGTGTTTCCCATGGGGGGTACAGGTTAACAATTCTGAAACTACTACACATGTAGACTGGAGATGATGATTAAGTAAATGGACAGTGGTGGGCTGGTTGAAGCCAGCTTTCTTCTTACTGTTGGAGTGGGAGTTTACAAATAAGCAAAGCGAAGAAGTTAGAATCATTTATGTGATAATGGATTAGAGTTTGAGACATCAGTAAGAACTCATGTTTAGCTTATTATAGATACAGATAGTTACATATAGAAATATTTATAGATATGTGTACACGCAGGTTGGTATACATACATAAGTTTCTTTGCTCTTGTCAACTGAGAGGGCCTAGAAGCAATAACATCTCAGTAGCAATGAGCATAACTAGCACCCAGATCTTGGTTTTTAATGCCATTCTCCCGTAAAATGTACCAGGGCTCTTGGCGAAACAGCGAGTTCTAGGACTTGGGCAGGAAATATCCAAGATGAGCATGGAGCATATTGGGATGCCAGAAAGTAAAGGAAGTACTTTAAAAAAAAACCCCAGAATGGTCAGAGCATGTCAAAGGAACATATAGGCTAACTAAAAGAGTTCCTAATAGCCAAAGCTGGAACAACTTGAGGAACAAAATAAAGTACTAATGGATTATAACCCAAAGTATAAAATATCCGTGAGTCCATACTGATATAGTTAGTGATTGGCTAAATAAATTAAAGTGGGAGTAGACACAGATTTGCTGTGCAGAAGAATTCCAAATTATTTATGTAGATAACTCCTTCCTCAAGGAGGGGGAGCCTAATTCCCCACCCCCTAAGTATGGGCTGTGAGTGGTGACTTTCTTCTGCGGAGTACAGTATGGAAAGAATAACATTAAAATGGAGAAACCTGACAAACACTCCCTCAGCCCAGTGATCAAGATTATCATCAGCAGTGATAATTCATGTCGATAGTGTGCACCTTTGATATGATGTGATGAGAATGGCTCTTTACCTCTGTGGTCTTCATCCCACAAACCCATAAACTCAGTCTAACTATGAGAAAAATATCAGACAAACCCAAATTGATGGGCATTTTACAAAATACCTGACCAGTACTCTTCAGAACTGTCAAGGTCGTGAAAAACAAGAAAAAGTCTGAGAAACTGTCAGAGTTAAGGGCAGCCTAAGGAGACATGATGACTAAATGTCATGCGGTATCCTGGATCCTGGAACAGAAAAAGGATTTAGTCA